GCTTATGTAATCTTTACATTTTATGCAAAAGTGTTGTATTTGCTTGTTAAAAGGGGATTTATTTCTCAAATTTTAGGAGCTAGAACTTCCAAGAGGGCACGGTGCTTACATGTAGTCTTTGTGTGCCATCCCCAAGACAGAAAACAAAAGGACAAAGGGCAACAATAGCAGGGATGAGGAAGGTGAGTTTGCTTTTATACGAAACCACTCTAGCAATAACTAACTTAGAACCATGCTAACCCATCATGAGGGCTGAGTCTTCAAGTTCTAAACATCTTTTAACGGCCAATTCTTTATAGCTGTAATTAAACTTTGACATGTATTTTGGAGGGGACACTCAAATTATGGAATCACATGTTTATTGTTTTATAATAGAAAAACTACAAAGACACAGATTCCAATGATATTCCAATGTTATCTGCTCATTTAAATTAACATTCTAGTGATAGTTTCTTGAAAATATGATGCACACTTCTAATTCAGACTCCAGCCCAGACTGACGTTCAGGCCAATACCTCCAGCAGCCCATCCCTCTCACATATAGACAGTCACCCTAAGAAACTATCTGTGAATCTCTAGCTAATAATCTTATATGTTCTCACCCGAGAAATTGAGTTTTAAAAAGTTGGTAATGGCTATGTATATGCTCTGGTCTCTGCCTCTAGCTAGAGAGCCGGAAAGCCTCACTGTGAAGTCCCACACTTCCTCAGAGACCTGTAAGAAAAGACAGCCACTCCTGCTTCATGAGCTTGATTCTGTTACAGAGTACCCATCAGGTTTTCTGTCTCTAAACTCTCTTCAGAGCCCCCACCATGCTGATATCTGTCGATTCATGGTATTTATAGTCCTTTCTATTAAATTTCTTACCCTCAACAATCCATCTCAGTGTTCCTTCAAACCACACAACTAGACCTTTCAACTCTTATTTCTTCATACAGAACTATTTCTGTAAGGATTTTTATTAATTTCAATGGAGACCTCTGTTGGTGTAGGCATTTAATCTGGAAAACAGTAAATGTGTGTAACATGTTTTTCTTGTGCTTAATCACATGCTTAGAAACAAAAACAGAGAACAAGAGAGATGGCTCAGTGGTTAGGAATACTGGCTGCTCTTCTACAGGACCAGGACTCAATTCCCAGCACACACATGGCAGCTTACAACTGTCTGTAACTCCAGTTCCAGGGGATATGACACTCTCACGCAGCCATGCATACAGACAAAATGCCAATCCACATAAAATAAATAAATATTAAGAAAGAAAAAAAGGGGAATAAATTTTAACGAAGTAATGTTTTTTTTAAAAGTTCCTTTAAATCTGTCTTGCTTTGTCAGTGGAAATATTATTAAAGTGATTTACTGTGTTCAAAGCAGACTCACTCCTTCCTATTAAAGAATGAGTTAACCTCATATTCATTCACTTCTCTGTAGCCTACTGTCCTTAACATGAGACGCCTAACAACAGGCAGCACTCCAAGGAAAACAATCTGAAAACCATCAGGAAATATGAAGCTAAAGATTATGCTTTCCCAAGAGGGATTATGTCCTAAGTATTCTCCATGTATAGAAATTATTTACTATGTTCTCTTAAACAATGTTTCTCTATAATAAGCTTTTAATCTCTATATATTCATTTCTGAAAGTAAACATAAGATTTCTATAGCAGATATCAGTTCTGATTAGTAACATCAAGAAATGTACCATACTCCTGCACCTAATACCTCACAGTTAATAAACACAATAGGGATCAATCAGTTGGTTAGATCTATTCATTACAGGGCTTGAACTATAAGAAAAGACTCTCAAAATTATGAATCTAGGAATTTCTGCAGGATGACAGCCCAGCTTCTACCTTCCTCTGATAAACAGAAGCAAATATTCTTTGGGGAGCTCCTACCCCATGGGATATAAATAGCTGTTCTAGGGGGACAGAAGCCTTGCTGAGTTTGTAGCCTTGGGAATGCATCCAAGCCTCTCTGTTTATATTCATTGAAATATAAACTCAGACGTCTAACTATCTAATCAATCATTATTTAACTTCCATGACTTGTCCTTTAACCCAGTTTCCATTTAGAAAGCCCTAACAACACAGAAACATGAAAATATTTACTTCTTGCAGAAAGTAAAACTAAACAAAGGATCAATTCATAAAGCACTGATTGCTGCCATTTACCTAAAATGGGGATGTTCTGGGAATTCCTTGAAGGGATTCCAGAGATGCTTTGCAGGACGGCAAAGTAAGGATACAAGGTGAGCAGAATTCTGGGCCCTCAATCTCCATTTTAAACATTATTCTTCTGCTTTTATATATTGGGCTCTCAAGTAGATTTATGTTGCAGTTTGTTTTGAAGACATGAAAAGAAATGAAATTGATTGCCACTGTAACACACACACACACACACACACACACACACACACACACCACATACAAATACCCCTTAGGTAACCTAAATAATCACTACAACATTATAGAAACAAGCAAACTCTACTCACATTCATACTTGTTTCTTTATCTTGTTGCTCTTACTTGCTTTAATTCCTACACTCCAAAATACATTATCACCACAGAGTTGTCAAGGATACAGAAAATTCAGATACTGCTCATGTCTATGTACATAATGATAACTAAAGACCACACTTAAGCACTGGCACCATCTGTCCTGAGAGCACTGTAGCGTGCATAATTCTGTCTTCTAATGCGGGTCATCCCTACACTATACTGCAGTCTTTTTACAGGAACCATGTCTATTTGCTAACAGAAATGGAATATTCTTTTTTTCCTCCAAGAGAAATAAACTACATACTTACAGCCATTATTACAGTTCTTTAATTTTTATAGCTTCAGGAAGCACAACTAAATTATTCTGTCCTTATAAGCTTTCACTAAAGTCACTATATAAATTTCCAATATGGGGTTCTTGGACCCACCAGCTCATCCAATCAGAAGGACTGTAAATCCCAGGCTAAAGTTTACGAATACCCTAGCTATAGCTATGATTCACCAGCTAAGAGTATATTGGCAATCTGTAAATTCAAAAGAAGCTACATAGTAAGGTTTTTTTCTGAGACAGAATCTTTATTACGTAGCTCTGGCTGTCCTGGAACTCATTTTGAAGATGAGGCTAGCCTTACACTCACAAAGATCCATTTGCCTCTACCTCCCAAACGCTAGGATTAAAAACATGTGTCACCATGCTTGCCAACTTTCAAGATTTCTAAACTTTTTTAATGAATCTTTCAAATGACTGACTATTTGTATTTCTAAGGAAAAAAATCTGTAGAATTCAGAAGTCTGAATTCTGATCTTGCTAGGTAAGTCAAAAAAAATCATTTAATTATTCTTACCAAATTTCTCATTTGAAAGAAGAAAGTCTTTATAGAGATTAACATGGGTCTTGAGTTTCACATAATTATTAAAGTTTCAGTTTGGGACAATCTTTGTCTATACTTTCAAATGTGCTGGAAAGTACAGTTTTAATCTACCTGGCAAAATTTTCCACTGTATTTCTTCTTCTCCCAGATGTTTAGTGTATTGTGTGGAAAGATTCTGGGGACTAGGGATTCACTGAAGCTCAACAGTAAAGAGCCCACCTTGCATGCACAACGCCCTGGACTGAATTCCATTCTAGAAGCGGAATTCAAGTAAAGAGATAATTAATATAGAGCAAGCTGAGGCCAGATTCTGCATTATTTTCTGTCAGTTATAAAAAATAATAAACATAATTTTGGGGCCTATCACCTCACTTCTCAGTTCCCTTTATAAGTAAGATTATTGACTCTCTGACATATATGTGTGTGATATATGACTTACTTATTCATAAGTATGAGTGCCCAACTGCCAGATACTAAGCTAAACAAAGAAAAGAGAAAACTGAAACTATGGCCAGTAAAGAACAATGTAAATGTAAGGTAAACTGTAGTAGCAGGTTCTAATTGCATCACTACATCCCGATGGTGACATTGTCTTCGGAAGTACGGAATGTGGCCGAGCCTGGGTTATATATTGAGAACTTGTCTCAAAAACCAAAAACCAAAATGAAGCAAAACAAAAAAGTCCAAGAATAAAGCAAGAGCATGAAAAAATTAAGCAACCCCTCCCCCTTCTCCCCAAAGCCCTTGTGTTTATGTCTCCATTAATAAAGAATAAAGCTGAGAAGATACTCTTTAATTATGTCACTGAAGATGTCAGAGACTGAAGGGCAAAATGCTCCATAAAGATGCTATGGATGAATAAAAACCACAGAGGCTAGGAGCTGAAGAGATGGCTCGGTGGCTAAAAGCACTTACTGCTCTTGCAAGAGGATTCAGGTTCTGTTCCCAGCACTCACAATGTAGCTCACAACCATGCTCCGGTTTCAGGAAATCTGATTCCCTTTTGATCTCCAGAGGCACCAGGCAAGTTAAGTAGTGCATGTGCATACGCACAAGCAACACACTCATACACATAAAAAACCAAACCAATACCACCGCCCCTACATATCCATATTCCACACTGTTCTAATGTAATGAGTCCTAAAATTCCCTGAGCTGATTTCAGTATCTGAAGGAGTTAGGGAAACTCCACAAAACTCGTAATTTGAAATCCCATCTTCTACAGGAATATCTGAGACAGGTATCTTATGCATTTTTGAATTATCCCGTTTCTTTATAATTACAAGATTTTTAAGTTTTGGGTGTATTTTCGTGGGTTTTTTCCCCCCTTTAAATTTCTATGTCTACTTCCTAACCTCGTCAACTTCCATTTTACAAGAATTGAAACGCAGGGCTCAAGTCCAGCATTAATTAGCACAGGATCTCTTAAGTTATCAAGGCAGCAGTCTGCTTTCTAAAACTCAGCTTTTGGCGGGAGGTGCGATTTTCTAAGTTACCAAACTTTGGGGGATAGAAGGCAGGGGTGAAGAAGAGAAGCTGGACACGAACGCTGCCGTGTGCCCTGCGACTGGCGCCCCCGAGGCGCGAGCGCTCTCCTCAGGGAGCCTGAACGCTCAGTGTTAGTGGGTACCTGACTGCGGGCGGCCGGTCCACAGCCCCCTCCCGCCGGCCAGGCCTCGGCCAGGCCTCCGAAAAGCCACCGCCCTGGCCAGCATCCACAGCATCGCCCCTCAACTCAGTGAGAGCGCCCCGCAACCACCCTCCTTGACCTTAGGCCCCTCCGCCAGCCCCGCCCCCTCCGCCAGCCCCGCCCCTCCGCCCAGACCCTCCTCATAGACGCCCTCGCACTCGTCCCATCCCATCACACCCTCCTCTTCGTTCCCGGTCTCCGCCTCAGTCTCACTCCGCTCCGCCCCTTTGGACTATCTCGTTCAACTAAGTCCCTCGCCGCACACCCTTCGGCTCCGCCCTCTTTGGCTCAGGCCCCCCCTCGACCCCGCCCCACTCCGCTCACTCCAACCCATCCGGCGCTTTGATGTAGGCCTCCGCCTCCGACTCGCCAGAGTCCAGGACTCTGGCCACTGAGTCAGGCTGATGCTTCACGACTTGAATCCCGGAAGCCTCAAAGCCAAATGGCCCTATCCCTCTGATCCGCCCTCTTCGGGACCGCCTCCTTTGACACGCCCCTCTCCCGCCAAAAAGCCAAAAGGCCTAATGACCGGTTGTGTCTCTTCCGCTTCCGTCTTCGTGTACTGGGGGGGTCTCACCGAAGGCCGTCGGTGGCAGTGTTTACGCTGGTTTCCCCTTTACAGTCTTTCCTCCTCTCAGACACACCCACCATTCTCCTACTTGAGTGACTACCCGCCCTTTTGCAGAAACTTGGTGAGGTCGGAACCTTTGTGCTGCCGGAACTAAAGTGCAGTAGTACGCTGGCAGCCGGAAGGCTGCATAAATAGATGAATACCAGTTTCCTTCTGGCAGTTGATCGCTGGGGTTCCGGTGAGGTGGTTGGCGGGTGAGCTCTTCAGCTTCGTTTCCTGTTATGCATCGACCGAATTTTCGACCCCCAACTCCTCCGTACCCCAGCCCGGGGATAGGAGGTTGGGGTAGCGGAAACAACTTCCGGGGTGCCCTGGGCGGGGGGCCGCGGCCGCCCTCCCCTCGGGACGGGTACGGGAGTCCGCACCACACTCCGCCCTGCGGGCCCCGGTCTAGGCCGTACGGGAGCAGCCACTCTCCGCGGCATGGCGGCAGCTTCTCGGGGGCCCGCTTCGGGTCTCCATCCCCGGGCGGCTACCCAGGCTCCTACTCCCGGTCCCCCGCGGGGTCCCAGCATCAGTTCGGCTACTCCCCAGGGCAGCAGCAGACCTACCCCCAGGTAAAGACAATAGCTAGCGTTTGCCGAACTCTTACTGTTATGGCAGGCGTGATATTAAAATTCCCTTTACGTGGATTGTTTAATCCTCTTATACTACGTTCCCCCAATTTTGCAGTTGAGTAACCTGAGGCGTAAAGAAATTATCTAAGACTACCATAAGTGGAGGAGCTATAGTTCTCTGTTCCACAGTAATTGTTCTCTTAGCCACCATACCACATTCGTATACAGACTATTTTAATCCTCCATTTCTTCTCCTCCCTCCCCAGAGGTTTTTGTTTTGTTTCGGTTTTTGTTTTGTTTTTTTTTTGTTTGTTTGTTTGTCATTTATTTCAGTGAATATTCCTGGATTTCTCGGGGGAGGCCAGTGAATGATTCCCTACTGTTGTGTAGTATGGCTCCTCTAGACTTTAGTCTACGGCCATTTTCCTACAGATGTCCCGCCCTTATTTTTGCATTCTTGCTTTTTTTTTATGATTATCGTTTTTCAATCTATATTTATATCTACTCCAAGTTCTCTTGAAGGGAAAATAGAACATTTGGAATTGTGAAAACTTCCCCTCTTCTCGATGAGTGAATACAAGACAGGAAGTAGCTCTTTGGCTAACAACTTGGATCTAAGGCGTTTTGCAAAATTGAATATGCTCATCCAGCTGAATCCCTTATGAGTTGTAGTTAATATGAATAGAAAATTTTCATGCTACATTAAAGTTCTAGAAATTTGAAGCCTACCAGGTTAAAAAGTCTCCAGGAGAAATTGAATACAGTTAATCACTGCTTGTACTGTATTTACTTGTATTTAATAGCTGCAGGGTTATCACATTAGAAACTGAAAAGGTTTTTAATATGATAGCAGACATTTTTAAAAGAGACATATACAATTGGTTTTAGTAATTCTTAAAAGCACTAGATTAAAGAAATTTGCAACTGAATATATTGGGTTTCAATTGACAACTTTTAATGTGACTCCCCACTAATATTTAACTAGAGGAGAAAGTACCAATTATCTCTATTAGATGTTTTTATTTTTAACTGATGATTTTTTTCCTAAAGGGTTCTCCAAGGACATCTACACCATTTGGATCAGGGCGTGGTAGAGAAAAAAGAATGTCTAATGAGTTGGAAAGTTATTTTAAGCCTTCAATGCTTGAAGACCCTTGGGCTGGCCTAGAACCAGTATCTGTAGTGGATATAAGCCAACAGTACAGCAATACGCAAACATTCACAGGCAAAAAAGGAAGATACTTTTCTTAACATTTCTGAAATTCAACTGGAAGCCTCATGTGTCAGGAACATCTTGGACAGAACTTTACTTGTGTAAATGAGTTGAACCCAAAGATGATGACTTTGAATAATGATTAGCAGACCGTTGGATATCTCTAACTTTATCAAGTGTTTATATTAGAGGAAATGATAGGACAATTTACAGTATTTAGCTATCTGGGAGTGTGTGCCACAGAACAGTTTTCATATTTAACATTTCCAATATAACAGACATTTGTTTTTTCAATGTTTTAAAATAAAACGTTTTTGTCTTCCTAATTGTGATTTTGTGAATATGTAGAATTGCTAAAATAATGCTTCATAATCATTTAGAATTTGAGGGTAAATGTTTTACAAACTTTTTAATGAAATAGATAAGCTACCCTATATATTTCTATTTTCTATATATTTATTAATAGAAAATTGTTCTACATTCATTTTTTGTATTTTTGTTAAAATATTGAAACTCAAAAGTCACTGCAAGTCACTTAACATGATTTATACTTCTTTAACCACAAAAGGCCAGGATAAACCATATATATACAGTTCAGTGTTCTATCCAAATTTCTCTATATTTGTAGTATTGTAGACTTACTTTCTCTTGAAGCCAAAGAAGGTGTTATGTTCATTTCTTGTCATTGTGATAAAATGCCAGAAGAAAGCAAAGGAGGAATTTTGGTTGATAGTTTCTAAAGTTCCCATGGAAGTTCAGCTGGATCCATTAGTTGGTCTTGAGGTGAGTCAAAATATGTGTATGGATATGGCAGAAGCTATTCACTCTTGGCAACCAAGCTGCAGAAAGACAGGAAGGGGCCAGGGACAAGAGGAACCTTTCTAGAGCACCTTCACCTTTTTCTGCCTCCCAATAATAACATCATGTGAACCATTGAGGTATTAATCCACTGAGGAGGTAATACCCTAACAATCTAATCACTTCCCAGTAATCAGACAAGCCTTCAACACATGACCCATTTGGGGAGACACTTCATATCCATACCACAACAAAAGAGTAATAGTAATCTCAAATCACTTCCATGACAAAGACAACAAATATGTACTTGATTCCATCAATCTCAAAGACAAATGAGGAATCCAGTTTACTGTGACCTAGACAGTAAGGTCTAATTATCTTGACTCATGGGCACATTTCTAATCTGAGAAAAAGTTCTATGAACTTTAGCTTACTTTTCCTGGCTGAGGTAGATGGATGCTGTGTATATATACCTGTATTAATAGAAAACTTGGAGGGATATTCCTTAGTTATTTAAAATCAAGTCTTGAACAGTGCAGTCTGTTGAAGAAATTGTCAACATTCTCCAAAAGAAAAGTGAAATGGCCATTCCACCTAGGTGAGCCATGCCTATTTGTTATTGGGATGGGGACCCACTGGAAGGATGCAAATAAAACCTCTATTGAAGCCAGAACTTTGAAATTTTTCTACTAGTTATTAGCTAGATACCTCAGTTTTATTATGTAAAATGAGAAAATTCATAGTACTTGTCTTAATCCTATATTCTGAGTTCTCAGAATAGTGCCTATAAAATAGTAGGGACTAAGTAGATGTTTAATAAATATATAAATTCTGTTTGTAAGGGTTAATAGAGTAATGTTATGTGGCTATTTGAAAGAAAACGTCCATACTCAACATCTTGGGTTTTTTTTTTTAATATATTTGATGCTTATTGAACTTCATAAATAAAATACAAGACTTGAAAACAATTACTAAACAGTCTCTTAGAAAGTACATTATTGGCAAAAATGAAAAATTAGAGCCAGACACAATTTTATATGGTTGTAATACCAGCTACTCCAGAGGCTGAGCTGACTTGATTGTAAAATTAAAGCCAGCCTGAGCAATTTAGCAAGATTTTGCAAAAATGAAGTTAGGGAAGGTTTTATATGCTGCATTTGTACCATGTTTGGGAGACATTCAAACCCAACTTCAAGTTTCATTTTTAAATTCTGTTAGCAACATATACTGTAAGGGTTCTATCTAACCTCTGAATTTTTAAGAGAACTGTCCTCAGCAAAAGTGCATACACTATTAGTGATATATTCAGAATTAGGCTTTTGATGGGGTTTTGCTTAGTTTTTTCATTGAGATAGAGTCTGGCTATATAATTCTGGCTTACATGAAACTCACTATTTGTAGATCAGGTCAGCTGTAACTCAAAAGAGATCTGCCTGCTTTTGCCTCCAAAGTGCTGGGATTAGAGGAGTGTGCCACCATACCTGTCTATTTTTAAGAATGGTTCTTAAGCTGAGCTTAATGATACACATCTTTGATCCTAACTCTTGAGATGTCAGGTGGATCTCTTAAATTTGAGGTCAGCCTGGTCTACATAGTGAAGTCCAGGACAGCAAGAGCTACATAGTCAGACCCTGACTTGGAAAAACAAAAACAACAAAGAAAAGCTGAATAACTTTTTAAAGAAATGTATAGACCTTTACATCTCAGAAATGGGCTTTAAACAAGAGTATAGTCTATATTAGCATTGTCTCCTAATGAGATTAATTCTTTTGAGGTAATTAATGTTCCAAGGGATAGGTAAGCATAATAGTTTACGAAAATCCAAATTCAGATCCTTAATTTCCAAAACTCTGCA